ACCATCCCTTAGAGCATGCTCGTGACACAGTTTTGAACAAGTTTAAACTTGACTTGATTCAGTAGTGTGTTGTGCGTGCAGTGCTCCTGCAACCACTGAAAGCTCTCCCCAATAATGCATAGAAAAACATAACGCATGCGTAAAACACGCACGACACATTTTACGTCACACGGGCTAATTAAGAATTATCAAAAATATGTTTTCATAATTGCCAAAATTTACAAACTTGTTTTTTTGTTTACTTTCAAAGCTGTCAAACCAGGTACATGCAAGAGCTGAACTCGCAGCCATTTTTCAATAAAAGTAACAGAACTTTGATTTCCTATATACTAGATGGCCCTTTTCCAGATGTCTATTTTCAATGCCACCAAAACATCAGCCATGTCCACCGGTCGCGTGCCACTAGAGCCACGCTTCAGTGGCAGCGTGCTTCAGGAGCGTGACCATCTTGGGAAGCTTACAAGGAGAAAGTGACATGGGAGGCACTGAAGGCATGCATTTTCTAAAGTTCACAATGAAGCCCCTGCACGTGCAAAGCTGAAGGCCAGTTTTACTTTTTATTTTTGTTTCTTGCATAGAATAAAATCCGTGGCCCAATGGGTGAACGGCATGTGTCTATCCGTCCCCACAATTTGGCTTCGTACGTTTTCGGAGGAGATGGGTGTTTCAAGGAGTACGAAAAGAGTAAAAACGAAGAGAGAGTTGCGCGCAGCAAGTTGGAACAAAAGAAATACGTTTAAGCGCGCCAGAAATGAGAGAGGAGAAAGACACAGGTAGAAAAATATCCGCCATCTTTGCGAAAGCTTTTCAGCGAATGCAATATTGGTTCTTTTTTTTATTATTCTGCTGTTGGGCAGAAACTCTTTGTAGGCTCAAGCAACCATACTCTTAGGAGAATAGGCAAAAAATAAAATAACTGATACGAGTTGTATATCGCTACAATTACGAATGAAATCGCGGGTTGATGTGCCTACACAAAAGTCTGAATGGAAGTTAAATGTAGATATAAGCATCATCACCCTCCACGTTGCGGCTCCAGAAATTATTCTTTGTGACTGGTACATGCTGCAAAGTGAGAGCTGTGTGGCTGTCAATTTATTTAAGCGACGTTCGTTGGGACCAAACGTTTCATAAACAATATCACTTTTGGCAAACACTAATCAAGACATGTATCTTGTTAACGTAGCAGCTTGGGCGAGTTGGTTGCTCATTTTTACACACACTACAGCGCACTATAGCAAATAACGCTCACTCCTTACACACAAAAAATAAAACAAAATTCAAACTAACCGCGCTGACGAACAACTGGTTTTTATATATACTTTGCCTTCTTCTACCTCTTGCTCTACAGAATTTCCCTAATCACGAGCACTGATACAGTTTTTATAATTCCTGGCGATATGACTAGCTTCGACAATTTCTCTAGTTAATCGATCGCAAAGTTGCTAAGCCTCAGTGTATTTTTCAGTGCCAAAAAGCCTAAACCAGGTTACCCCTTCAGAGTTATTGCATCCGAAAAGGGAACTTGCAAAAATAACTCGCCCTTTTTCTCAAAGAAAAGCTAAACCTTCTTACAATTGACGACCCTTTCTTAATTAAGAGTTCCAACGAGGTCATCCAATTCCTGTCACAGCAGAGTTATGATCACCTAGAAGCTTTTTCCATCGACATAAAAGACCTATAGTACGAACTGCCCCAGGACGGTCTTTCGCGATGTATAGAAGAGAGTATTGAGTCTTTTGGTGGCATAGCGTTCCAAAATTCTGCGGGTATTTCCGAAGACAATTTTCTACATCTACTCTCGGTTTATCTACACTCGACCTTTATTACCTGGAAAGAAAAAACGTATCTACAGAAGAAAGGTGCTTCCTTTGGTCGTGCATTGCCCCAGTGCTAAGTGATCTCTATCTCTCCCACCAAGACAGACTATTGAACAAATGGCGTGATTCGCCCAGAGTTGCTAGAGTATTTCGGTACGTTGACGATTATTTGATCTTCCTTGACGCCGAGAACAGCAATTTTCCAACCACTGTTGCCGGCGTTCTATCAACTTTTAAAAACTGCCTGAAACCATTGGAAATTACTCATGAGCTTCCTGAAGAAAGATCATTCCGATTCCTAGATCTCAGGCTCGATTTCCAACACACTCATATATACTGGAAATATGAGCCAAGGGGTAAAAAACCAATTCTTCCATTCAATTCGGCACATTCTAAGCTGGTAAAACGAGGAATCGTAAAATTATGTCTAAACAACTCCCTTCAAAAATTCTGCGAGCACTTTATTTCACTAAGCTTTGATGCGCAAATCTCAAGATTGACATCCGCCGGATATCCCAACTTGTTATTAACCTAGATTGCAGATAGCATCTTGAAAACAAAAAAACAAGGGAACATCTGTCACACCAAGAGCCAGAGATAGAACCACGAGAACTGTCGTTCTTCCCTACTTCCACAGGTTCACCCATGGCATCAAGAAAATCGCTAACAGGTTCAACATCAACGTCGTCTTCTCTGCACCTAATAAGCTTGCCAACTTGTGCAAACAAGCCAACTCGCCTAATTCTCACCGAACAGTAAGCTGTACCAAACAACATCAGAGCAGCTTCGTTGAGTGCGCTGAGGAAGTGGTGTACTCATTTCCTTTTTCGTGCGGGAAAGTGTACATAAGGCAGACTGGACGATCCTTAATGATAGGCTTCTTGAACATAAAAACAGCAGCACCAGACCTAACTCTGGCCATCTAGGCATACACTGCTGTGATTGTGGGAGCGACGCTCACCTGTCATCCTGTACAATTTTAGGTAGGCATAGTAACCAATCATCATAAAAATTATCGAAGCTGAACATATCCCCAGGAATTATAGAAACTGTATTAGAACACCATCTTTACATCTGACAGAAAAAGAAAAAAAAAAAATAGGCATCTAGGAGATTGGTGCGCGTGATTCGGGAAATTCGGTAGAGCAAGAGGTAGAAAAACTCAGCAGACATGTACAAGTTACTCGAAAAAAGTAATTACGTTAAGTTACTGAGTATTGATGTCAAAAGTAATGTGAGTAGAGTAGAAATTACTTAAATAGAAAGTAATTGAGAAAATTACTAATTACCCTAGAAAAGTAGCGAATTACTCTTGAAGTTACTTTTATATGTTTTTTTATGGTAAAAGGAAAGTACATAGGTTTTGAATCGTTAGCGAAATTTGCTAGCCAAATATGAATCGGCATTTTTTTTCTCACAGAAATGCTTTAATAGCTGGTTCTGCCTCTGCGTGACTAATTGTTTTGTACATTCTTGCTTGTTTGGTTATGATGTACTGCGAATGTGTCATTTCTACTTTGAAATTTAGCACTGTCTCAGCTTGATTCTTTAGGCAGTGTTTGCTTGCTTACAGTGTTGCGTAAAGTACATCTAAAAAGTACTTGAAGTATAATACAAAGTAAACGAGAGGTTATGTACTTCGAGTAAAGTGGTAAGTATACCGGATGCAAGGTACTTCAAGTAACGTATATAAATACAATATATTTAAACGTAAAGTGCAAGCACTTTTAACGCAATTTTTCATGTTGCTCTTTCATTTCCTATACAGTTTTTTTAACTCGTATCCATTGAATCAGTAGTGCATCAGTTTTTTTTACGGAAATGGCAGCAGATATTGTATAAGGTCAAGTCGCCGCAGAGTAGTTTTTTACTCTCGCTGATGAGCTATTTGAAACGATTAACCTATAAGGCACTTATTTGTGTCGGTCTTATAGCCGCCATTACTTCACTTAAAGAAATGACCAGATAACCTCTCGAAAGAACGCGTTTTCAGACGACGATACGTCGTTTTTCGTTTTCAAACTCGTTGAATGTACATTGAAGTCGGGAGTTTTACCTTCCTAAGAAAGTACAAGTGCATGTTCAGAGAATCTACTTCAAGTAAAGTACAAGTTTTCTAAATAGTAGTACTTTAGGTACCATGTACATAGAGTACTTCCCAATACTGCTTGTTTATTCTTTTTTATATAAAAACGTTTGAAGAATTACTAAGGTTTCTCGAACTATCTTTGAATCTTTGAAGATCTGCATATTCTGAGTTTTGGGAGGAAAGGCAACGCAAAACGGTCACCTTCGCGTTGCCTTTTAGCACGCGATTCTTTGAGTACAGCACAAACTACGGGAGCACCAGATGAGTTTCGGAGCAGGTGCTGCATTTTGTTGTCTGCTTTGAGTGAGGATGCAGAGTGTGCACCTTCTGTAGTGGGCGAGAGTTTCTACGTTGGGGAGAAGCTAGGACCAGCCTTTTCTTCAAATAGGTCAAGTCTCCTTGAGCTTCGGGACACAGGTAAACGCCAGTCTTCGGCGGTAATCCCGCAGTTACTCGGCCTCTCTTGCGTCCTGTCGGTTCGCTCCTTGCGCCTCGTAGCAGTGTTGTTGCAAGGGGAGGGGGGTTCGGACTATCCAAATTATTTTCTTTCCAACCCCCCCCCTTTCCCCCATTTCCTACGCCATATGCTTCCCTTCTTTGCAAATATCAGCTGATCTTCCAACATCTTATTCCTTTTGTACAGGCAGAATATTTGTTGATAGGCAAAAAAAAACCACTAAAATTCGAAAGTAATTTGTAATTTGAGTAGAAGTTACTCAGGAAAAGTAATTAAATTAAACTACTAATTACCGAAATAAAAATGTAATTGAAAGTTACTAAACTACTCAAGAAAGTAGTTAAATTACAGTAACTTGAGTAGAGTAGTTGAACTACGTACAAGTCTGAGAAGAAGACAAAGTGCATGTAAAAACGAGTTGTTAGCCAGCGCGGTTTGTTTGAATTTTGCTTTATTTTTCGTGTGTAAGCAGTGAGTGTTATTTGGTATAGTGCGCTGTAGTGTGACGATTTCACATTTCACACTGAGAAATAAAAGTCGTATTTAGTTCAGAGTGACTGAAGGTGAGTTGGTGGTTCTATCTTTCACATGCAGTAGTTCTATTTCACAGAACAGGTTTGGGAGCGTCTTCGTTTCATATTGGCTCTGTGGGAGCGGTTTCGTTTTTCGTTGGCTCTGTGGGAATGGTTTCATTTTTTATTGGTGGAGTGGAATCGATATCATTTTCCACTGGTGGTGTGGGAGAGGTTTCATTTTTTATTGGTGGAGTGGAATCGATATCATTTTCCACTGGTGGTGTGGAAGTGGTTCCATTTTCGACTTGCGGTCTTTGTGTAATATCCGGGAGTGTGGCTTCGGTGATTGTATCGGTAATCAGGTAACAATTGCCGCCAAAGCAGGAACCTGGACGTTTCTCGGGGCCGTACTGCACAAGAGAAACGTAAGTTTGAAAGGAAAGCAGAACAAAAGGGATGCCATTGTTAAATGTTCACGGGCGTGGAAAAGGAAAGCAGCCTCAGCGTTTAGTATCGCCTTGCATCCTGAATGTTTATAGCACCCTCTTTTATCTCGTTTTCGTTTTCTTTCTCAAACTAATAAAAACTGCAAGCAGGTTGTCATCATATATCCGGTCATCTTGTTTAAAGAATGATCCTTTTCAATATGTTTCTAAGTACAAATATCTACAGTTGTATATTTCGGCTGATCTAAAGTGGAATGCACGTGTTGTGACCATTATTTGAAAAGCTTATTATGCCAAAGATTCGTATTTCATGCATAACTTAAAGCACACCACATTTCACATAAAATTAACTACAAACAAAATGATGATAAGGCGTGTCAATTGATATGCTTCTCACTTTTGAGACCCCCACACCGCCACAGACATTGGCAGATTAGAGATGATGCAAAGATTTACGCCGGAATTTATATACAGCCATTACGAATGCAAAGAATCTGTAACTTCATACGAAATGGCTCAAATTGAATTTTTATCGAGTAGACGCCGTTGCGCGAGACTGAATTTATTAAATTCTATGCTTAACGGGACTTAAAAATGAAAATGTCAAAATAGTTCGACTGGTTCGTGCCAGTCAAAAGCTTCCATAATAGGACGTTAGTCTCGTACCTTTGCCGCAGTGCCTTTTTAACTTTTTTTTCAACCTAGTATTGCGTAATAAAATAGCCTTCTTGAAGATTAGGTCAGCCTGTCAACCATTGCCGTATTTGTAAAATCAGTAGAAAGTTGTCCTTACAGTAAATTTCGATTGTATGTTTGTTTTGTTTTGAAATATAGTTTTAGGTGTAGCACTTCTGAATATGTCTTACTGAATATTTGTAAAACTGCTTTTGTCCGATGTATAACTTCTTGTGCGTTACCTTGTATCACCCTTCCTGCCACAACCTCTGAAAGGGGTTGTGGCAGGACACTGCGGTAAATATAGTAATTAATAAATATGAACCACTTTCTAAGCGCGAAGACATAAGTTCATGCTAATCCTTGCAGGCTGTGTCTATATAGTTCAGATATTTTAGTTACTTCATTTCGATGCGTTATATTTCTAACGTAAATCGAGTCTGATTTTACGACATAAGTCATCTAAAATTACAACTGACATACAAACTGAGCTACGTATTGCGTTTCTTAAATTCCCCACACCGTAGTACTGCGCTTATCTCTGCGTTTCAATTTTTCAAATATCTGACACGTGGTAAGTTCAGTGTTTGAAAGTGATATGCGCCAGTTTGACTTGAATGTATTGGACTTTCTGTATGAGAATCCCTCGAGCCTACGAATAAACAAAAAGTGCAGTTCGGCACAACAGAGGGCGATCTACGTTTTCTGTACCACCTAAATTAACCATTACATTCCGCTCACCAGCGCCTGGGGCGGTGTAATGTACATTTTAACTGCGAGACCAACGTTAGCCTTAAAAACCAAGAATAAGGTACACTTTAGTAGCTGACGAAATAAGAACGGAAGGACATCTTTTACGGATTATTGGCTTCCAGCATGCTCGTTGCCTTCTAGCGTGCTTTGGTTGCGCCTGCACCACCTCAAGCCCGCGCTTGAGATGGAACGAGTGAAGGACCTCTCTCCCGTTTTCACCCTGCCGGTGACTGTAGTAAAGTTGCGAGAATGATGATCTTATAGACGGATGAGTCTCACACTGCAATTCGTCCCGGGAATATAAAATCCATACATCCAGTGGCCAGTGCCGTTTTTGCAATAATAAATGCAGTCGTAATAACTTGCCACCAACTGGAAAAAAAATAACGAGGCGAGGAATTTATTTGAGTAAGCTCGAATCACAGAATCTTATAACGACACTGCATAAATGCATCATACGCGCCATTCGTTGATTTGATATCTTCTTATTATTATTTTATATTGTGAAATGTGAATATTCTAAATTGACTTGTGATGTGAAGATTATTGCATGTGACCCCTCACTGCATAATCTTAAAAGTCAACGCTCAAAAAAAAAAAAAAAAAACTATTCCATTCTGAATTAGCTTTTGCACCAAACGTGCCAACTATTTACATAAATCTTAACACCAAATTTATTAAGTCTGTGGACCTGGACCAATGCTGGTACGTAATACTCAAATATTACCGCTTAAACATGGTTAATCTGTTACGAGGTAGGTTTTTAAGTTCCCTAGTCATCATCTTTAAAACCCAGAAGCTAAACATCATACATCTTAAGAATGCAAAGCAAATTAGACTTCAGGAGAGATGCATGTCAACATTGTTTAAAAAAAAAAAAATGTTATTGTGGATTTTAGTGCGTGCGACTTATTCTTTAAATCTTGATATTATATATATATATATATATATATATATATATATATATATATATATATATATAAAAGGCGGACCAAATAGGGTCGCGATATTGGTAAACTGCATTTAAAGGCCTCCCGAAAACCCAGAAGTACTAATATGCGCCATCGGTTCTTCACATTTTGACGTACGTCGCCTTCTATTATTATTATATTTAGAGAGTAGGCCTATTCCTCTACTCTATCGTAATTGTTTATAATTTCAATTTCTTACAAAAAACACTACATCTTTTCCGCCTCGAGGGAGTGCCGCTTTTAACTCTCTAAAAATTGTTCAAACACGTTTTTCTATTTTTTTTTTTTAATTTTGAGGCATTTTAACAGTTAGCGCACAATACTTTTTTATTATACTTATAAATCCCGAGATTAGCGAAGAAGCGAAAAGAAATAAAAGGTGACATCAAAATGACATCTTTAAGTATGATCGGTCACCGCTAGACTTTTCCATTACCCTAGTTTATAAATGTTTTGCTCTCAACATTGTACTATGGCCAACACATCTGTCGTTCATAAGCGTGATGATATACCTACAATGCAACTGTTCATGTATTATTAGAATTCATTATATTAAAATAATTTAAATTATAACAAGAATAATTATTTCTAATTTATATAGAAATAAGGAACTCCTTTGTAATAAAATTGGGAGTTAAACTAGTTGGGAAGACTGCTTTTGCGCTGCTTGTGCTTTTAAGGCTGCTTGTGTTGTTTATAAGACTTCGTGTAAGGCCGCTTGTGCACTGTTTTTAATATGAAACAAAGAAAGTTCCCGTACACATTCCATTTGTTGTTCATTGCACTCTGTGCTTTAAAAGCTGCGATTTAGCTTATTTTATTAAGCACCTTTACGTGTGTTTCCGTTCCCCACGAGCACGCAAGAGCATTTTTTTTTGCATGTGCAATGCACCCAATACGTCGAAAAGCTCTATTAAAACTAACAGTACATTTATGAATAGTAACGCAAATATATAAAAAAAAAATTGTATTTCCCAGGTGCGCGTCTTCTTAAATCGCAAATTACAGTGGAGAGTTCTAGAAAATGACGACTCTCGTTTTCCGGTCCTTGGGTGTCATGAATACCAACTCACCTCTTCTGTCCTCGCAGTCATTGGGCAGCCGTGCTTTATTATTATTGGTCCCGTTCTGTTCCACTGAGCTATTACGTCGGGATATATTTGACAATTTACCAAAACAATCGCAACTGAAACAATGCATGTGAGAAATGTGTCAAAACAACGTGACTGCAATGGACCCTGTTATGCAGCGTCAAATTGAGAGCAAGTCAGCATCTTTCGAACGTCGATCAATCAAAGCGGGCGGTCGCATATTACGGGCTTCGACGCCAAGCACTGAGGCAGTACTCGCGCCCAATGTATGTCAAAGTGCCTTGTCCAAAATATGATGGCCTCGGATATTCGACATAGTAGCTGTGGAAGGCACGAACTTTTGGAAAGGCTCTTATCATGCGCGCTCGACTGAAAGCACAGAAGAGTTTGTTGTAAAGAAAACAATCACAGACATTTATTACATTATGATACATCATTACAACATAAAAATATGAGCAAAATAAATCGTAAATTATCGAATTAAGGCACGTCTACGTTTTATGATGTAAAAGAAAGAAAAACGGAAGGTCGCGAGTTTTAGGGGGTAACCGTTCATTGATAAATTTATGGTAGTTATTAAACTATTGACACGAAGTTGCGAGCCAAATATTATTTTCATAAGGCATGTAACTTGCTACGCTTTGAGCATAATGAACATCGAGGAAAAAGAAGAGGAGTACAAGAAATGGAATGGAGTGAGTACGACTCTTGAATATTTTGGTACAGCTATTTACTTTTTTAATACAGGTCGCAGTAACTACATACTGTTTTAAAATGATTCGGTGCATCAACCATTCTCCTAACATTAATGTCACACTGTATATATTGTTTGTTATGATGTTGTACTCGCCTATCGAGTTATTTTAAACAAGTTTTATTTCTAGAGCTACAGCATTTTTAGGCACATCACTACTTCCGTTACATATGCCATATAAGCTCTATTCTTTACTTGTAAACGGTGCTTTTTCGCCCGGATTGTATTCATGTTGATGTTTGAAAACCAAATATGTTTGTAAATACATTTGAATATCTTAAATACCATCGTTGGATCCAAATTTTGCATATAGATACTTATTTGAAAACAATAAGCGAATTGGTAATAAATACAAATTGTTGAAATAATTTGTGCTTTAATATCATTTTCCAGGACTTTACCCATAACCGGTCTCAAATGAGTGGGCAATACTTATGAACAAATGAAATTGCGGCAATAAGCTTTTTCAGATTGAACATACGACACAGGAACCATAATTCAAATCTCGTTTGAAAAACATATTATTGAGGTACGGAGTGCCCCTAGAGGTCTATTCTGACCTCGGACGTATCTTAGGGTAGCAAATATTCGAGAGTTTCTGCACATCGCTCGTCACAGAAAAGTCCCGACAGCGAGGTTTCAAAGAAATAGCCAGACAAACTTCAGAAATACCCAAAGGTTGTTCAGTTATCAAAAATATGAGAATGCCTTGAAAATTATCATCTTTAGTACATACCAATAATGAATATTGAGCTCGAAATTCCCGTCTTCATGAAACTACGCACCATCCTCGACTCCTTTCACTGACCTTGCAGTTGCTGGAACTTGTCTGCACAAGCTAAAAATTAAAAGGCGCTCAATTTATACGTCCTTTCTTTCACACAAGCTCAAGTACCAAGGGAAGGCATATGTTATATAAACAATAGGCATATTCTGAGTTTGGCTTGCAGGGTGTGTTGTCTCGGAAACAAACTTCTTTTTTTTTTTTTTTTGCAGATGTTCTTCATGCGCGCAAAAGCTGGCTTCAGGATTTTTTTTTTGTTTTTTTTTATGATTCATCAAGCCCGACGATTGAAAAAGCTGAAAAACAAAATCTCCACGAAACGCAATTGTTTGCGTAAAGTTCTCTCTAAAGCAAAATGCGTCGAGCATACGTTTACATTCCACGTTGTACGCTGTTGATAGTTACATGCGCGCTGCAGAACGTAAATTATACGAGGCAACGTAGCCGGCTAGGGTGGAAAAGCGCGCGTGGGTATGAAGGCACTCTGTAGCCGGCAGCGATGGGAAAAGAGAGAACAGCGCAACGAAGGAGGCGCGGCGCGAGACCGGGAGAGAGATACACCCGATCGAGGCGGCTCGACGAGCAGCTGCGCGACCACGTGGCTGCGTACAAAGCGCCGTGCAGCCCGAGCCAAGCGTCGCGGAGGTTGTGGATTCCGAGCAGCCGGGCCAACTCACGAGCGTCCGAAATGCAACGCCCACGGCCAGGGCCGCGAGCATCGCAGAAAGAATCAAGAACGCAATTGAAATCGCCACAAATAAATAAATAAAAAAATAAAAAAAACTGTCCGGAGGCACATACTGCAAAAGGTTTTTGAAAAAGGGGGGAGACGCCGAAGGACGCGTGGGCGGGTAAACGCATATCGCACGGAATGTGGCGCCACCAACAAAAATTGATAAACCAGTACGCGACCGTATGGGTCGCAGATGGAAAAAGGGCCCGGAAAAGAGCACTGCGAGAGATCCAAACGTTTGCCCACGCCGCAGGTGTGTGACGAGGCGAGAGAAACATAGTAAGGGATCAAAATCCGGGTTTTAAGCTTTATCACATGTTGCGCGGAAAATAAATTGGTCTCCTGCAAGAAAAACAAGTCACAATGCTGGGGCAGGGCAAAATGAATAACTTCGCGCTGCTTAGTAGGACAACGAAAACCTTGCACATTGAGAGTCAGAACGTGAAGGCCCAGAATAAAATGGAAAATAAAACGCAGTAGGGCCATCGGAGAGGTTAAAATGCCAGCGGATCAGAGCTGTCGGAGTCCTCCATGTGGAGTTAAGGACTGTGCAGATGGTCGGACATGTCCGAGTCGTCTGGAAGCAGACCACGTCGTTTCTTAGGGACAGTTGGAGCGTGGGGGGCGTCCGAGCTGCTGCTTGTCGCTGAGAGGCCACGCTAGGCGTTGGGACGAGCGGAGGTCATGTCGACATCTTCGGCGGACGACGGGTCGGTGGACGACTCGCACGTGAGGGACGACGTCGGAAGGGTGGGCGTAGGGGCCGGGTGCCCTTTACCGGGGTGATGTCGGCCTGGTCAGCGATGACGAGGCGGTCGGTGTCCGAGCTCAGACAGTCGTCGTCGACACCGAGAGCGTCCTGCGCAACGGCCGTGGGTAAGGAAGCCCCGGGGACTGGGGTCACGGGAGCCTCCTGGGACGAGGGGGTTGGGTGGTCGATCGGTGGGGGGTGACCCAGCCGTAGGGCTGGGGGGCCAAAGGAGTTGTCTTAGGGTTGGTTGGTCAGACGAAGGGCACCAGGAACTGGTAAGGGCTCCGGGGAAAATGGCGGAGGGACGAGGGGCAGAAGCGTGGCCTCCGCGTAAAGGCTAGCCCACATGGCACGCTTTTCTCCGCGTCTGCGCCTGCGCTTTGACGTCACTCCGGGCGCCGGGACAAAAAGCAGCGTTTTTGTTGCATTCCCACGTATCTGCAGGAGCCAGACGTTTCACGTCCGGGCGCCGCGTCTCCCGCTGCGTCCAGAAGGCAACAACCAAAGAACGGCCGTGTTCACTAGAGTTTCAAGGAGAGTTTGAATTTTCTCCACTGTTTTCGCCACTGTAGGACTTTAGTTTTGGCCACGGACCTTGCAAGAATGGGTATAATAATAATAATAATCATTTGTATTTGCACAGATTGCGATACCCACTCGACAGCTTGTAAAGCTAGGCAGAAAGGTTGAGACCCTTACGCAGGTGCGCCTGTTAGCTCGCCGCCAAGTGGGGAAAGGGATACGGGAGAGGAAAATAAATTCAAACAGTCGAAACAAAGATACACACACAAAAACATTTAACAGCCCGGTGCCATTCCAAGGCAGAGTGCGCACACGCACGCACGCACGTGCGCGCGCGCGCATACACACAGACACACACGCACACACACACATCCGCGCACGCGGTGAGTTTACAAAATATGCACGCCCGCGGCCATCGGTAAAAACGGCTTAGGCCCCCCGCCAACGCTCGCAGCAGGGCGAACATGGGTGGTCACGTCCTTCGCCTCGCGGACATCAGTTTACCATAACTTATGCACAAGTCCAGGGGCTCCTCTCTGCTCCGCGGGAGAGGCTAACGCTAGTGGGAGCCGGGGGTGAAAGACGAGGCCGAGGGCCCGTGACAGGCGGCCGGCGGAGAAGACACGAGCTGGCGCGAGACAGTGTGTGCTGAGCGAAACTGAGAGCTGGACTGGAACGACGAGGCCAAGCTGCCTGGCCCGTCCCACGGCGAACCCCGGAGCGGTTCACCCGCGAAGTCCGGAGCAAGACCGGTGGAAACGGCGAGCCCTGGCTATATGACCTGGGCTACCACAATCCCGGGGTGGTTCCGCAGCGAGACTCGGGCAGCGATATCCCGGGACAGCCAGCCTCCGCAGCGCTGGCGTGCGTAAGGCGATTCGCACGCCTGGACACGGACTGCGACTGTGAGCTCTGATCGACGGGCGACAACAAGGGTCGGCGTGCCTGGGCTGCCGGTTCTCGAAAATGGGCAACCGAGAGATACAGTAAACCCATTCACTGTCGTCTCGTTGTTATGTCACTCCCTGGGTGACGGGCGGAGCGCATACCGATCGGGCGGCGATTATTAGTAGAGGGATCTCTATAAAGAACCCCACACGCTCCTTCAGCGGAACAGAGAGGGGCTAGCAAAGCACAAAAGCGTTCCACTCTGGCAGGCGAAATGTAAAGTATACAAGGACACCAAGAGACAAAGGTACAAAACTTATACTATCGGCAGCAACGCAACCTCTTTAGCGGCCAGCTTTAAATGTTTTGGCGGGAGAGATGGTGATGCCGATGGCATGCCGAAACGGAGATGAGGCGCTCGGTAATAAATAAGGCTGAGGCGCACGAACCACTTCCGTCCTATGGTGAGCTGAGCAAGCTATCAGCCATAGACGAAAACAATTTTGTTCTTTCATAAAATTGAGGAACCCCGAGCCACTCGTCCACATTTCCCTAAAAGCAACAATTAACATGTGTGCTCGAGCGAAAAGAGACTACTTTAAGAGAAGAGTGTCCAACCGTTAGTTTTTCTCTATAATCGCTTTCCATTGGCTGAAACGATTATTGGTGCATTGCATGGAAGCAGGAGAGGTATCAGTCATTCTTCTGGAAGCACCAATTACTTGAGGATCACACACATGAGCCTTCCTCTCATTATTTTCATTCTAAAGAAAAATGCGTGTTTTGACGTGTGGTTTCTTCACCCTATTCAAAATAGTTGCGTCGCCTTGCACTTGTCGAAGACGGGACGGATATAGTAAATGCATCGAAATTTAAGGGAAATAAGGTGCTTGCCAAACTTTTGTGTTTTAATCCGAAAGCATTATATGGCTAATTACGCGAAAATCCTACGGTGGCGTCACCGAGCAATGGTACCGAAAATGGCGAAAGGCACAAAGAATAAAAACACGCCTTAAATGCTAGGATTGTCGTCGAATATCTCAAGCTGGTTTCTGTGAACAGAATAACTTAATGGCTTTGAAAAGAAAATTTGGTACACTCCGGTCAGGGTGGAAATGGGACCTGGGCTTCCACGGTGGGAGACGCGCACGCTTCCCCGACGCCACGGCGGCTCTACGATTCTGGCTGATTACAGGTGTGCCTGTGCCTGCTTCATGGCACACGTCACGTCGCAGCCATCTGGCTGACTAAAGGTGTAGCCTAACGCTGTGAAAGGCTTCCAATACTTTTCAACGTATTCACCGACCACAAGAGAATGGTCCTCTCAATAAACTCATCCAACCACCGCCAACACACCCGTATCCGTTACGATGCGAAGATTACAGGCCAGACATATATCCGTCTAATGACGAAGACAGTGTCGCAACCGAAGATGACACAATCAGGACAGACCTACCATAAAACATAAAAGGTCGCATAGCTTGAAATAAGATTCATCGTTTTGCATCAAAATGGTCCGAATATTTCCGGTCTGTGGCCGACGTATACGCAAACACAAACAGCGAATCGAACACCGAATCGCAAACACGAACACCGAAAACATTTCACGAAAAGAATTATAATGCTTTCGCATTCCGATTCCCACGTGTAACCAGTCTTAACTGCCTATGCCAAATGTTTACTGTCTATCCCTTTTTATTACAACACCTCGAACAACAATACTTTTGCTGCAAATAACTGTGTGTTAGAATCGCAATTTATGTAGTTTTTATGGCACTTTGAGAAACTGCAAAGTTTTCTGTAGTTCTTGCGTCGCTCTTTGCAAGGTGATGAACCGGAATCACTTGCTCCAGGAGCTCAAATGTGGGGGGTACACTACCACAGCCGTGATGGAGCACTCGGGCATCTTTTTGCTGCAGGTTGGTTATTTGAAAACTCCAGCTTGTCGTCCTTCAAGCAACTATTGTCGGCTAGTGGTATCGTGCCCCATTGATTGACAGCGCCGGTTTCGTCGAGTGTGCTCTTGGTTTCGTGACGTCATGTCCGCAAGTTTGCGGTGTACCCCTTTAATGCAAATGGGTGATGTGGAATCAAA